CGCCACATGACCTCCTGTGTGTGGTTGCCCATTCGTTAGTTTATTCGTTTCACGAACAGTGTTGGAATTCACTGTTAGTGAAACTACGGTATGAATTCTGGTGGCTTCCATGCCGCCAGCATACGAATGCTCTTGTTCGCCTGAAATAGAGATACCTGAATACACTCGGTTCTAACAACCTTAAAGCTATAGAAACACATTTATACAAATACAGTCTTAAGTGGCTATTTTTGCCACACTACACTTACCACCTAGACCTGCGTTATACCGCAGTCCCTGCAAGCTTCCTGTTCTTCTACTACCGACTGCTAACCTGGTGTCCTGTGTTTCAATTACCAGGTATTGTTAAAGCTTACTCACTACGATTACGGTTCTCCCCAAGGCCTCACTCAGCCTTCCTCTGTTACATTGCCATATTTGGTTATCAGGGGCTTGCCTCTGTTAAAATGGACCAACATTCAGGTCCCTCATTTTACACGGGTTCTTACGTTACAGTATCACTGATACAGCATCACTGATACACACCTATCCATACATTTCATTTTGTCATATCTAGATATATCAGTGGCACGCCTTGGGCCCACCTACATCTTGCTTACCCCTAGGATAACCCGTGGCCGGACCAGCATTTTGTCAAAGATTTTTTTGTTCTAAGACCGCTCTATCACGCACAAAGTGATAAACGTTATACTCAAGGTTGGTATCCCCATGTTGTCGTACACCTTTTAGGAGGCAAGCCCCAGCAGGTGTAGAGAACTGGCGTTCAGGGCTAGGTGCTGGCCTTAACAAACTCAAAGTAGTTTACCGGTCCCACGAGGCCAACTCCCTACCTCACCACAAAATCATAGTTAGCCGCCTTGCTTGCCCTTCTTTAGGGCTACAGTTAGGGCCTCCTATGTCACGGCCACATGTTTTTGAATCTCTAATGGTCATCAAGAGGCCTTCATCCCGCCACCACGTCAGTGGCCACGACTTCCCTCAGCCAAAATCATGGGCAGAGCCTCTCACCACCACTTGGCATTAGCAGGGCCTCACCTGTCACTTGGTCATAGTTAAGTTAGGCATTAGGCATTAGTCAGCAAGCCAGTTTTACGAAGGCCTTGTTACCCCTCCACACTCCCCTATCTAATTTTCATCATTATTCCTTTTTCAGAATGTTACAGGAATCTATTCCCATCAAAGAATTACCTTCTGATGAAGTACTCACCATGCCTGCCAGGCCGGGTCGCCAAAAGAATACCCCCTATACCCCTCTGTCCCTGAGATCTTGGACAATCCAAAAAATTGCGGCTGAACTCATACTCAGGGGCAACCCCTTTCCAGCAACTGAGAACCCAGACCTGGCACTAGCTCCCAAGGGCTGAGCTCCGGCACCTTTTATTCCACGCAAGAAACCCTGGCTGCTATTCTGGCCAACCTTCAAACAATGAATAGTAGACTGTCGAAGGTGGAATCTGCTATAGCTACTCCAGGTGACATAGCAGGCTATGCAGTTCCTCCCTTGGTAACCCTTATTTTACCTACTTCCCCCCCCCCTTCACCTCCTCCATCAACCACAACCACCACCCTATATGTTTCACCTGAACACTCCGTCCCAGCTTCCATTAAAAAAAGATATTCTGGATGGTAAGGACGTGAACTTAGTTTCCCTTCTCATAGCTTCACAAGATGTCCTTGAAAACCAAGCTTACAACTATGGTGACATCTCAGTGGTGCTTAAATCCAGAGATCCACGCCTGAACAAAAAAGTATCCATTCCACAGTTTGTCATAGCTTTTGGTATTTACAGGGATGTAATTTGCACGGTGTATCCTTGATGTAGATTAATTTAGAAATAAACAAAAATGTTTAAAAGTCTATCTGTTCCTGTCCAAATCTGAGATGAATAAATTGCGTATACGCAGAAGTAAGTTCACACTGACACATGCAGTTCAGGTTAAAAACACTTCAGGAAATTTATTAGCATCTAGTTAAAAAGCGGGCACGCAGGCCTTTTTATATGCAAAATGACATCATCATTGAATATCAGATAATAACAAATAAACATCATTAATTGGGTTAAATGTTAAGTGGCTATGTCAGTGTCCACCCATTAATATTATTAATTGGCTCAGAGATTTGAGTGACTAGTGAGGCACCCTCCCATCATGGGATGTCGTCGCCATTGCTCTTTAGCACGAGGCTTACTCGGTGGAAAGGGGGGGCTTGGGCATCATTTTACGTAGTTAGTGATGTCAGTCTCGTGGCCTGGTCCAAGGTTCTTTTATGAATAAAACATTTCATTTAGTCGCTGTTCTCCTGGCCTTGGATTATACTATGTTGCAAGTCAACGGAGATCCGCTAACTCCGGGGCTAGTTATGTCCTTAGAGAGATAAAATACAATCTCTTATTCATTATATTGAATACTGTCATGTAAGGTGAACAAAATGGAGAGTTCTGTCACAGTGTGAGATTAAAATGGAGTTAGTACAATAATTCAATACAGGTTCTAATAAAGATTTTAATAATTCTACATCAGTCCCCCCTATGAAATGTTAGATTCTAAAAGATAAACTTTATTTGTTAGTATCAGAAGACGTGTTAGCCCAAAGGCATAGAAACCCTGTGAAGTAACGGTTCTTAAAGTCTTCTTAGTTCTTCAGAGGGACATCATAAAATAGACAAGCTTACATTACCATGTGGACCTGTGTTATCTGGAGTATAGGCACAACAAGTCATGTTGACAGGTAAACGTTGTTGGTTGAAATAGATATAATAAATGCAAATCAAAATGTTATTATTAGCAGTGACGGTTTGGAAAATGGACTCAAACTTTCCTTTAACTGCAAAATCATCTGGTACCCCCCTTGGCACACCTATGGCATCTATATATATATAAATATATATATATATCAAACTTCCCTTTAGAGGGGTGCTCCTATTTGTGTTCTGAAGCATGAATGTGGTGTGTCAAGAGTACCTTGTCATGTTTTATGTGTATGGACATAATAACCTTGGCTAGGGCACATTCGCTTATTCACCATAGTATTAAACCTGTCCTACGCTACATCAGTGTAGGTGGACTCGGATCATTTAGTCAATATTAATATCACCACAAACTCAGGATGGGCAAATAATCCTGAGGAAGCTTGGCGTTTGGATCTCTTTATCTTCACGAGGTCTGCTTTTGGGGTCCTCGGCTTTCCATCGATGGCAGGTGGTCAGGCATTATTATGGCCATCAACCACCTACTTGTTGATATCTTTAAATTTATTTTTGTCTTTTAACAGGTAATTTTTCCATTAGAGTCAAAAGTTTGTCAAGATCAACAAATGTTACTTCCCATGTTGCAGAGAGAGTCTTGAATCTGGAACAGTGAATCCACTGAGTGATCTCTGCAACTTTCACAATGCACTATTGGGTATATGGTCTTGGTTGTCACATTGATGACCGACTAGGCCTCTGGCCATCCTGGCAAAATGTCTATTATGACTAGTGCATATTTGAACCAGCAACTCTTTGGCACCTGGATATAGTCACTTGGATTCTTGAAAGAGATAGTGAGAGTTAGCTAGGTGCTTAGAATTCTCTTCCTCTTCTGCCTGAGCTGTCCTTGGCACAAATGACACAGGATCGGCAGTAACTGTTGATTAGAGAAGTAATTCTAGGTGCTTCAGAAAATTTATTGATCAAAGTGTTCATGAGGGTCTTGGATAGGTATAAAAAAAACTCCATGGGCCCACTGCCCAGTACATGTTTTTCCGGTAAACAGAACTTAAGAGTGTTGGAGTACAGCTCGTCTTTAAGTCTTTAAGGGTTGCACCTTTCTGTTTCCAGCTTTGTATTTCTTCAGGATCAGCAGCTGCTTGTCATTCTTTCAGGATCTTGAGATCCGTGGATAGGATCTTCATGGTAAATATCGAAGTTTCTTCAGCGGACACTCTTCTGTCCACTTTCCTTAGTGCACTTGCGGCCTGTTAGGCAAGGCCACTTCTTCAGCAGGAGTAGTAGGGCATCCACCAATTTCTTAATAGCCGTGCTATGCTTAACTGGCGTGCCAGTCGCTGTGTGAAATCTTCTTGTCTTCCAGATTAACATTTTGCATGCCACTGAGAAGGCTGTCAATTTGGTGTCTTGAGCAGATGTGGGTGAGGAAAGTAAAGATGCTTGACGTACCTGATCTTCTGTAGCAACAGCAAATCCAGTATGGTACCTTTCCTCTTCATCCGCAAACAGAGTGGAGTCAGGATCTGGCAAAGCTACTGCATGCCTTGTTGAGAGGTGTCTTGTTTCTTCTTTCATCTGTTCAAAGCAACCATGAGGAGTAGTAGAAGAGATATCCTCACCTATTTCTGTGTGAGATTGAGGGTATTTGTCTTTCCATTTACAGTTCTCTTGCTGCCCCCCCCTCTGTAGAGAGCTGATATCGATTTTTAGTGTTTCATGTTTTATTGAGTCAGGTTCCTTTTATGAGATTTCTGGGGACTTAGTGAAGAAAACATGAGGGGCAGCCACCTCCCAGTGATGATACAGGTGTCTTACCTCCATGGGAATCTGGGTCAGGACCGCACTATTTCCTTGAGAGTGCCCAAAACAGTCTGAATAATAATTTTTTTTTTATTTTTTTTTTAGTGTGGTATTCCCCCCTGGGAAGTGGCGGAAGAGGGGCCAGAGCAACTTTTTTTTTTTTTTAAATATAATGTTATCAGGTAGGGGACAAGGTGGAGTAGAGAGAGGAGTAGGAGGAGGAAAAGGTGGAGTAGGAGGGAGGAGTAGGAGGAGTAGAAGGTGAAGTAGAGGGAGGAGTAGGAGGAGGAGAAGGTGGAGTAGAGGGAGGAGAAGGTGGAGTAGAAGGTGAAGTAGAGGGAGGAGTAGGAGGAGGAGAAGGTGGAGTAGAGGGAGGAGAAGGTGGAGTAGAAGGAGGAATAGGAGGAGTAGGATTGAATAAGAGGAGGAGGGAGGAGTAGGAGGAGGAGAAGGTGGAGTAGGAGGAGGGGAAGGTGGAGTGGGAGGGAGGAATAGGAGGAGTGGAAGGTGAAGTAGAGGGAGGAGTAGGAGGAGGAGAAGATGGAGTAGAGGAGAGGAGAAAGAGGAGGAGGGAGGAGGAGAGAGAAGTAGAAGGAGGAGAAGGTGGAGTAGGAGGAGGAGTAGGAGTAGGAGTAGGCAGGGGTGGGCAGGTAAGGGAGCAGACAGGTCTCTCTGGAGGCGTGGGTATGTAGCAGTGGAGGATACATCAGAAATCAGAACTAAGTAGAAATGCAATGGAGGCTGCAAATAGCCCATGTACAACAACTTTTAACTGGCCCTATGCTTTCCCTAGAGAAAAATAATAAAAGGCTAACAAGCACATCTGTCTGTACAGGCCTCGAACGCTTCACTCCGTGGGTATCCCGCAGTGGCTAGTCCACTACATCTCCCACACCAGACTTTTGCTCGTAGAGACAGACGCTATCCCTGACTCTCTCTTTTTTTTTTTTTTCAACCTATCATAAAATATAACTCTTACTTACATCACAAATATACATTATCGCAATTTTATGTCTCGCAAAAGGGATAAAACTTATTTTACTCTTCACTGATAATGTATTAAAACTTACAAAATAGACAAATAACATTGTTTTTCTGCGAGATAAATGAAAAAGATAATGGAGGTTTTGTTAAGCTTTACATTTAGCTATACATTAATTTATCCTTTCTGGTTTCCAGTTTCTGGCTGTTAATGACAATGTACAATGTAATAGAGCAGCAGGAAAAGCTAGCAGAATGCTTGGTTGTATAGGGAGAGGTATTAGCAGTAGGAAGAGGGAAGTGCTCATGCCATTGTACAGAAAACTGGTGAGACCTCACTTGGAGTACTGTATACAGTACTGGAGACCATATCCTTAGAAGGACATGGATACCTTAGAGAAAGTTCAAAGAAGGGCTGCTAAATTGGTTCATGGATTGTAGGATAAAACTTACCAGGAAAGGTTAAAGGATCTTATCATGTATAGCCTAGTGGAAAGACGAGACAGGGGAAATATGATAAAAGCATTTTAAATACACAAAGGGAATCAACACAGTTAAAGTGGAGTCTATATTTAAAAGAAGGAAAACTACCATAACAAGAGGACATAGTCTCAAAAATAGAGGGACAAAGGTTTAAATAAAAAAAATAAAAAACTATCAGGAAGTATTACATTACTGAGAGGGTAGTGGATGCATGGAATAGCCTTCCAGCTGAAGTGATAGAGGTTAACACAGTAAAGGAGTGTTTAAGCATGCGTGGGATAGGCATAAGGCTAAGCACTTGCTGCTAGTAACAGATCTAGAATCAATACACTATAATGCCCAAAGTCTCGACTTCTATGCATATATAATAATAAAATATCTGGGCTTACATTAAAAAAATATGTTAGTCAGTCTTTAATCTTGGTGGTTAACATTATCCAATAAAGACAGATTG